ACAAATAATTTTAATTGCTATTTTCTATTAAAACTAATGAAAATTTTAATTTCAAGTATTGAATTATAAAAAAAAAAAAAAAAAAAAATTTAACGGGGCAGGGGACCCGTTACCCATTTAAATGGGTTTTCCCCTCCCCAGGTATTGGGTTTGTCGGGTTTTTTTGCCATTCCTAGTCAATCCAAAAGGCATGACAGTGAACTCATAGTGCCCATAATAAATTCGGAATGCAGTTTTTGGTATATTGCTCACTTTGACCTATTGTTGATGATACCCTGACCTCAAGTCAATCTTAGAAAACACCTTTGTACCCCTTAATTAGTCAAATAAATCTTATATTCATGGAAGAGGATATCTATTTTTGATGGTTAGATGATTTAATTCTTAGTAGCCGATGCACATCCTCAAACTCTCTTCTTTCCTTTTCACAAAGAGTATTGGAGCGCTCCATGGACATACACTCCGTCAAATAAAATCGTTTTCCAGTAACTCCTCCAATTGCATCTTCAGTTCTTTAGGTGCATTCTATACGGAACCTTAGATATTGGTGCCGCTCGGAGGACCAAGTCAATCTTAAATTACACTTTCCTATCTCGTGGAATGCCATGTAAATCTTTTGGAAATACATCCACAAATTCTCGAACAATTTCAATATCATTAACGGCTGCTTCTATATGTTGGGAACTGATAATATTAAATAAGAATCCTTGACATGACTCTTTCCTCAACATTTTCTCAGCTTGCAAAGCTGATAAAGGCGAGGGAGAGACTTGAGCTTTGCTCCAAAGAAATGGAACTCTTCCTCTCCTTGCCTATGAAATAGCACTTCTTTCTCATGACATCAGATGGTTGCATGATTGAATCCCAACTAGTCCATGCCTAATATCACGTCAAAATCTTTCATGTCTAAAAGGTATAAGTTCGCCTATAGTACCTTTTTGTCAATCTCTAACATCATAGCCTTCATTATCGAATTTGTGCAAAGAGTACTTCCTGAAGGAATGCTAACCTCTAATGCATTATCCGTTTTCACACATACAGTATTACACTTAGCAACGAATGATGCAGAGATAAAAGAATGTGTAACCCTAGAGTAAAAAAGAACATAGGCAGGTACATCATATAATAATAAAATATATGTTTTCACACATATAGAGTTGGATTTAGTGACGAATGATGCAGAGATAAAAAAAATGTGTAGCCTTAGATTTAAAAAGAACATAAGTAGGTACATTAGATAATAATAAAATACCTGCTATCACACTCGGATCGTGCTCAGCCCCATGCTGATTCAGTACAAAAACTCGAGCCTTTCCTTTGGATTTTCGTCTTGGACATCATCTTTCTTTCGTGGAGGCTCTGTATAGTGCAAAGCAATATGTCCTGGCTTACCACACCGAAAAATACATATTCCCATATAAGCATTCATCCCTATGGAGTGTATTACAATAGAACATGGTATAATATTCCCACTCATCCTACTAAAACGAACTAATGTGCTCGGTCTCTTATTTTGCCAGTTACATATTTCTTTGTTATGGTCATTCCACTTTCTTTTTCCTGCACGACTATGCTGAGAATATTGTTCAAATGTAGTCCTTTGGTATGAAATAGCATAAGCCATCTCCAACATTTCACGGTATGATGTGAAACGATGAGACATAATGATAGTACAAATTTTCGGGTGTAGTCTATGTTTGATCTTTTGACCTTTTTTCCTTCCGTATATACTAAGTGCGGGGCATACCTTGAAAGCTATTCGAACTTCCTCTCGTAATCAGTAAGTGACATGTTTTCTTGTCTGAGCTGCAAAGATTCTAATTCCTTGAAGTCTTTCAAAGCCTTTGGAAAATACTTTGCCATCATCTCATCTTTAAATTGAGCCCTAAGTCAGATTAAGCTACTAATCTTTGGTCCTAGTAGGTGAGGTAGACTCCTACCAGTGACTGACTGCTCCAATAAACATAAATTATACGCATAGTACATTCTATACATCTGTACAAGTAATGTGTCAAAAGATGCGCTCAAAGTTTCTAATTCATTCCTCAATGGTCAATAGGTCGGAACCACCATCAAAAGTAGGAGGCTTGTACCTACGAAATTGCTTAACCACTGAGGTAGCTCCAAGAACAAATGGAGGTACATTTTGTAGTGCCGGTGCATTTTGTGGTGGCGATACTTCACTCTGCCCGCTCGATTCTTGTATCACTCGAAATGAATCACGCATTAAATTTGTGTATGTAGGTAATGCCACTTCGTTCACAAAAATAATATCATTCGTCACATATAAACACCAAATCTAAAATACTATGCCTACATTCTCATAAATGGTGACATACATATTTCATGCTTGAGTATGCACCTACATAGACAAGGATATCATGCTATACTTGGTATGTAAAAATATAAGTATGGCAAGAAAAATGTACATATCATGAAATCTATAAGTAGGTAATAGAAAATGTAAAGTTACACAAAAGATTTGAATAATCATTTCTTTCCTTA